ACGAAGGGTTTTAATTGTCTGACGGGTGGATGCCCCGCTACTTCGATACTATTCCCTTTTAATCTGTGACTGAGAATGAGGAACTAGAGGAGACTTTAGTAGAGGAGCACTAATATATACTACAGTACATCCACCTTCTCACTTCAAAATCGAAAACTACAGCGTAGGACTAAATATGAAGTCATTAGGAAGGGTGTCGTGTCGAGGGCTGGTCACGAGTCTACGAGTACTTCAAGCAGAGCCTATTGATGGATTAACGATGACGACTTCGACAGCATTGCTTATCTCGCTTTTGCAAGCTGCTCTTCCATTGCAAACGTTGAATCGACAAATGATGAGCTACACCACCACTGTTAGGAACAGCCTAAGGAGTAGGCAGAGCGATAACACGATGGATAGAGTAGGTATTCCTATCGAAGCTTGCGATAAGTGTGAGAACCTCCCCATGTTCCTTGGCAATGCGCTAGTTCTCCTCTGAGTCTAGCGCGTTTGTCTAGCATTCATCTTGTCGTCTGCTCAGGACGCGCCTGTCGTTCGTGCTCATCCATAGTCCATACAGATAAGATGCGGCCTTAAATTTCCTCAATTGGAAACCATAGCCCCTAAAACCGAACAATCGCCGGGCTTGGGTCTTGTCGACCAACTGTATAAGTAAGATGAAGAGCTCAGGGCGAAATCCGCGATTAGGGCTTGTTTAGAGTGAAAACTCCATCCGACGATAGCGACACAGACCAGTATAGCTCCAACTCTCACGGCTTGATACTAAAGCTGCAGTAATGACGCGAACCCTTCTTACCGGCGGAAGTGGCTTCATTGCTGCTCATATTCTCGATGCACTGCTCAAACGCGGGCATTCTGTCGTGACCACCGTCCGCTCACGGCAAAAGGCAGAGCAGATCAAAACAACTCACCCGGGTGTCTCGAAGGAAAATCTGGATTTTGTGATTGTGCCTGACATTTCTGCGCCTAATGGTAGGTATCCTCATCAATTTTGGTCAAGTTTTCCGGTTTGAACGATCCACGTGAACTAATTGTTGAAATATATACGATATTCAGCCTTCGACCAGGCTGTCATTTCTGATCCACCTTTCGAGGCTGTGATCCATACGGCCAGCCCTTTTCACTTCCGTGTTGATGATGTTAAGAAAGATCTCTTGGATCCAGGTTTGTGCCTCAACGGCGGGCTGCTCGCTTAGAAGACTACTTGCTTATGAGATTGCGTTTCCAGCGATCAATGGCACTGTTGGTCTCCTCAAGGCCGTCAAAAACCATGCTCCGTCCGTTAAGCGAGTGGTGATTACATCTTCCGGCGCCGCAATACTGGACTTTTCCAAGCCTCAGACATATACTTTCACAGACGTAAAGAACTCTGTCATTCTCTGAAACTTATTCCCCATGCCCACGCTAACCTTGACCAAGGCGGACTGGAACAGCATGACCTGGGAAGAGGCTACTTCCAACCCCCTCAATGCCTACCGTGCGAGCAAAGTTTTCTCTGTAAGTTTACAGTTTCAAAGCTGGGTTTTACCACCACGCTGATCACTCCCGTATTTAATAGGAAAAAGCTGCATGGGATTTTGTGGAAAGGGAGAAGCCCCAATATTCTCTCTCAAGTGTGAGTTAGACTAAAAAAGCCATGACACTGTCAAAAAGGTTCAAGAGCTTGAGACTCACACATTGTTACTTATCAGATAAACCCACCCATGGTCTACGGTCCGGTATTTCATCATATCAATGACCTTGATGGACTGAATACTTCCAACGAGCGCATTCGAGACATCGCCTTTGGTAAAGCAAAGGATATCTGCCCATTCACTGGAGTATTCCTATGGGTGGACGTTCGTGATCTGGCATTGGCGCACGTTCTGGCAATGGAAAAACAAGAGGCAGCTGGCCAGCGGTTCTTGGTTTCTCCAGGACACTATTCCAACAAGGACATTGTGAGAGGTATCTGGGAAGCATTCCCTGAACTCCGGGAAGGTTTGCCAACGGGAGACGCATTGACACCTGGTACATTTCCGCCCGAGGGATGGTATGGATATGATAGTACCAAGTCCAAGAAGGTTTTGGGCGTCACCTATCGACCACTGAAGGAGTGCATTATCGACACGGTGAACAGTCTTAAGCCATTTGTCGAATAATGTCGAGACCAAGAAGATAGCATTTCAAATATGAGTAATATCCAGCTTGCTATAAGAATGCATTGGAGTTAGTCGTTGACACCTTCTTAGGAGCGACGAAGAGCCGCGAGACGTTAACCTATCATTTTTGAAACCTTCTGAGTACACGTTCCCTCTATGATATGTATATGAGTTTGTTGGTGTGAGTATCAACAGCCCTGTTTCCTTTGCGCAGAGTGAACTTCAGGGCTACGTACCCGGCTTTTTCCATTCAATCGATCGGGCCTATCACATGACGTCACCCAGATTTTCTACTCTGTCCCCTTTGACTCGATGATTCCTTTTATCCTATCCCCGAGACCTTCTCCGAACTATATTTCCTCGCTAGTATGGAACAGCTAACGAGTTGGCTGTGGTTGGCCATTCGTTCTTAGCGTGATCGGAAACCCCGAGCCCCGAGAATTCTCAACAGAAGTTGACGGTCCAAATTTAACATACCTCTCTTATTTCAACCGCCATGCTCCAGTCGTCTGGAATCTCCGGACCTTGTCAAAATCTACTAGAGGACATTGCCACCTTCGGTCAAGGCGCAGACCAGTATTGCCACCAGCATCCTCCTGGTCAGAGTCCAGGTTGCGGCAGCTGACAACAGTCGGTATTATTTTCAATTCTTTGGAGGCTCTCCTTGTCTTGCTATACGAAGCCTCAGTTGCGACTGGGAGCATAGATGGATGGCCACGTCAAAGCGGAGCGAAGGGTTCAGACCCCGCCTTCGGCATGTGTCATCAAGTGTCGTCACTTCGGCTCCGTCCTCCCGGCTTCGGCTTATAGCCCAACGAACTGTCGGCGTCGATGGGAGCAACCACTTTTAGCTTGTGGCGCAATCGTAGAATGTGCTGGCAGCGCAGTTTCTTCCACAAATGGTTGGTGAGCATGGCGACAATTGGGGAAAGTCGATCCCAGAGCGACGGGGGTGTTATTTACTAGGGTGCTTTGCTCATTTTTCAAGAAGGGCAGATCTTTGTCTAGGCCGGCAATGCGAAAGTGAGGATGGAAGGAGGTATCGAAGCCCGTGGCGCAAATAGTATAAAGTCTACTGCAAACTCCTTACCAGTCGCGGACTCTATTACGCCACCAGGTGTACTCGCCAACGAGTGCTTCCAGGTAGGAGTGGGACGCCGAGTTGAGCTTGCTCACGATTTGTGAATAGGTCGTCTGGTGTTTGCCCGGGCAGCCAAAAAACAAACATTTTTATGAGAAAAGAAACACTATGAACCCACAGCATGTTTCGCTTCGTCTGACTTGGGCGTGTTGCGTGAGACTAGCTTAAACGATTCAATTCGCTCTCGAGAGCCTTCTTATACCGGGTAATTTATGCTAGGCTTGGCTTCGAAAGGATTTTCATCAATCTTCGTCATTGTACCTCTCCTAGGAGAATTCGAAAGGTCTAGCACCAGAGGAGATCTCTGCTCCTCTTGGAGATGAAATGGGGCTCGTCGTTGCACACTTGACATGAGAGAAAAAGCAAGCTTTGGACGCGAAGCTAGCCGAAACGCCAGATGTCCTTCAACTGCTCCACACCCCAATCGCCATTGAAGAGAAAGGCTCTAGAGTCATTGGACGAGAGCGCTAGCTCATCATCAACCAATTTCCTGGAGAGTTCCGAGTTTATGGAAGATTGTGAGGATGTGGACGTAAAGGTTAGCAGAAGCTTCCTGAATCAAGAGCGTCATTGACAGCAAGGTGCGATCAAAGACGGATTGTGATCAGTGAAGACGAGCACAAGCAGATGGCTTCATTCAGTGAGTAGTCGCTCTTTTTCGTGTCCCAACGCAATGGAGTTAACGCCGACCCATTTTGTTTCTCAGATAATGTTTCTCAGATGATTGAATTGTGTTGAAGATTTGGTCCAGATACCTTCCGATGTGGGAAGTGACAAGGAGAAGGATTAGTCATTTCTTGGTCATCATTGTAAATACACTCCAGCCTGCGGAATCTCTCTCTGAGAGTGTGTATATATATGTGCAGCATGGGAGCCATGTTTGTGATGAAGGAAATAACGAAGTAATGAGGAAACATTCCGAGTCCGAGCATAATCTCATATCCTTAACAAATTGACTCTGAGATTAAATTGCGAACTGGTGGTGTGTTCGGGTAATTACATGGAGTTTTAGGCGAAGGCTCACGTGTAATTTTCACAACTGCAGGCAGTGAGAGCAAGAAATCTACTGGGACCATTGAACATAATATTTGCGCAGAGAACGGGTCTTCTATGCTTCCCTTGAGTACAGTGATCCACCTTAATAGCAATATTCTTTGTACTTCTGGAGACTATGAAGGGTGGTTCCCCTCCATGACTACATTCTCGGAAGATAGACAGAGCATTAGGAGGTGAGCCCACGGCACGGGCGATATTGAGGAGTATTGATATGAGGAAGAACGAATATCGTTTGGTCTTCCCACCTTGTCTCAACAGCGCCTTCAAATCTTGAAGCTCGCCGTTTTGGAGTCTGAAGAGGTCAAGAAAGTAGTCGTGAAGGACTGTGACTAAAAGACCGTTGTTTCAAAGAAAGGGCCACCGGATTTCAGTACCATTGCAGCCATATTCGGACGCTTGGTGATAATAGTGACCTGGTGATGGTTCCCAGCATCGAACAGGTACGTAAGCGGCCGCCCCCTTTTGTACGCATCTTGTGGATATAATAAAATCGCTTGATTTGGTTCCCGTCTTTCAACCACGTACGGTTTGCATCACCCTCGAGGTAGAGAACATAAAGTAAGCTGTGATGAGTCCCCAAGCGTTTGAAGTGAAGGGAAGCCGTCGATAACGTTCCAGCAATGTTCATCCATCTTGGCGGTTCCTTCCTGGCAAGTTCAAGGCTAGTTTTCGACTTCCATAATAGCAACCCCCTCCTTTTCCTCTCCTTGGAATTGACGATGCAAACGTTCCATATTGGTATCTTCCAGGGTGATGTGATCGCCAAAGATGGCAGCAATGTCTTCCAAACGTTTTCCTTTTGTCTGTTTCCAAAAATTGTCAGCTTCTCTCTGGGTGCAATTGTCAAGATTTCCTCACCTCTGGGAAAGTGAAGTAAACTACGAAGATGGCGATGGTATTCAGCGAGACGAAGAGCGCGTAATACTTATACCCGACATCTGCAAATGCTGTGGGTGCTGACTCGACGAAAATGATGGAACTGGCGAACAGTCCGGAGATGGAGACGCCTAATCCTCTCGCTCGGAGGTGGGTAGGAAAGATTTCCGAGGTATAAATGTAGGTGTTGGCATCGACACAGCAACCATACCTAGACAAACTAGTCAGATATGTCGACTGAATGCCGAATTAACGCTTTACCAGAAAAGTTGCCAGAAGAGGAAGAACACGGCCCCGGAAGCTACAGCACGACTGCCGGTCTTCTCATATACTGCTAAAGTGGTCATCTCACCGATAAGTGAAGACAGACAGCCAATTAGGCCAATCGCTGATCCCCAGTTAGAGGCATTTTGACCAGTGTTCGACCGGGAACTCACTGAGCAATCTGACCCGGCCCACCCGATCAACAATTAGAGCGCAGAGACCGTTGCAAACAAAGGAACAGGTTATCCAAATGCTCTGCATGAGAAGCTGTCTTATAACACTGAATCCCAGGCCATGGTAAAGCAAAGCGGAGTAGTCTCCGTGGTATGTCAGTTGCGGTCTTGTCCCAAAAGATAGGAGAGCCGCCTTACTGGCAAACACCAGAGTGCCCGTGCATTGAGCGGCGACCATCGTACCAAAGCCCAGCAAGCACCTTTTCCTCAGGGAGGGTTTCCGGAAGAAGTCATTCCAAAGTGCTCGGTTCCTCCTTTCCCGCACAATCTGGGAATGAAGCAGTTGGAATTCTTGGTCGATGCCAGCTGTATCTTCCTGATCGACAGATTCGGCTCTCGTGGCCGTGAAGCACGTCAAAGCTTCGTCTGTGCGATCATTGTTCAGTACTAGCGGAATCAGTGAAGGCTTAGTGCAAACAAAACAAGCACGACTCACGCCAGCGTGGAGATTCTGGAACGAGCCAAAGACCCGACAGCAGCAAGATGGGTAGGACACATTGGAAGGCCAGAGGGATTCTCCATTGAGCCCCAGACGCATCGACAAAGTAGAAGCCGAAGCCGACCCAGGATGAGAGAGAATATCCGGCGCAAATCATAGTCTGCCGCTGTTAACGCACATTCGTTGAGGAAGAACAGAGTATTCTACACCATGCATGCCCACCAACAACCCTCGAATTTGGGGAGGGGCAATCTCGCTTTGGTAGAGAGGCACCAGCGTGAGCAGAGCACCTGGGCCCAAAATTAGCTATGTACATCGGAGGTGACGATACAACGACGCAAGCTTACCGACCGCGATGCCGGTGATCAAGCGAGCAACGATGTACTAGGTAAGGTGGTTCAGAGCAACTCAGATCGGGTATTCGTTCGTCCACGACTCACCATTGCGATGTGTACACTCCCGGACTGAAGGCCGCCGCCGATAATCGTCAACAGGGCCGCGGCCATCAGAGCCTTCTTGCGACCGAAGTTGTCGGCAAGGCAGAAGCATGATAGGGCACCGATGAGACCGCCTCCCTGGAACAGGCCGTTCATGGCGCCAATGAGCTGGGTGGCATTCGAGGCCCTGTCGAGATGGAAGTACGACAGAAACGTAGGTTGACCCAGCGTCGTGGAGATGATGCTTGCACTGTAGCCGTATGATAAGCTGCCGAGTGCGACCAGCAACACAATCTGCGGAAGTCAGTATGGGTCATCACAGCGTGGAGAAGCAGACAGGTACGCACTGCAAATTGAACCAGCGAGAGATGCATGTAGGCTTGTAGGTCGAGGTGTATCAGATCGTTGTGCCACTTACGATATAGCACGACGATCTTCGTCCTGGACGTGAGATCTTGGCGAGATATTTAAACCGAGCATGGCCTGCAGTTTCAGAGAACCTGCATGACCGGATTCCCGGGGTGTTCGTATTCTTATTGCTCGTGTCACCGTGCCGGTTCTACGGGTCCAGTGCCTCATGCGCACACTCTACTTCGTTGTGATTTATTAATGATAGCAGCCATCCTTCGAACCCATGCCGAGCTACGGTGACCCCGCGGGAACAAGACGGGAGAGGAGCGGGTGATTCGGGAAGGGCTTACCGGCAGAGTAGTCGGCTACCCTCCTCCTCCTCCCGGGGTAAAACGTGGTCGGTTAGGAATCTCCCCCCGCCCCAGCCCCCTCGACATGCACCCCGTCAGCTTTTCAGTCTGTCTTCGCAGCCGAGAGCGACGCCATACTGTTACCCTATCCCAGAACCACTCGGTGATGAGCATTCAATGACGGCTAGAATTGTGAGCTGCCTTGAGATTCCTGACAACCGACATAAATGCCCACCAGGCATTATTGATGCGCATTCGCTTAGTTTTGCGGCGCACCGTTTGATGCGGAAGGACAGTCTCAGAAGAGCTCCAGCGGCACGGTGTGGTTAGTGAATTGTTCCCTGGGTTTTTCGTAAATTGAAATCTTTTGTCACTTGTCAGTGTTTAGTGGCCATCTTCAGTCCTCGCCGTCTTTTTGGCCCTTCTTCGCATTACCTCCAAATCAAAGAACAATGTCCAGTACAAGTGTTAGTAGCTGCCCTTCGGCGATCGTCACAGGAGCTGGTTCTGGTAAGTTGGATCTCTCCTGTTCCTTTTGTTGACTGGCCCAGTGTGTCGACCCTTTGTTTGTCTCTCTGTGCTCCAGTCACGACGTTCCCACCACCAGCGCAGACTGCCACTGACGCTTGCCATAAATCATGCACAGGCATCAGCTTTGCATTTGCTCGAATTCTCTATGAGAAGGGCTACAATGTCGTCATCGCCGATACTGCGTTGCGACCGGAGGCGGAGGGCTTTGTCAAGGACGCATCGTCTGGAAAGGACGCGCCCAACGTCATTTTCGTGAAGACCGATGTCAGTGACTGGGTCCAATTAGAAAATACGTTTGAAGTTTGCGAGAAGGAATTTGGTGACGTTCCCGACATTGTCTGTCCCGGTGCGGGCGTCTACGAGCCCGTAAGTCGGAGCTTCTTGGATGTCTCTTGTTGTGATGGGGCTCATGGTTACACTCCATCTAAAACGATTCCCCTTGACCTTTACTAAACATTCCTGACGGTTATATAGCCAAGTGCAGGCTGTTGGGGAGACAACGATCTCGCTTCTCACTACAAGATACTTGATATCAACCTACTGCACCCGATCAAAATGACCCGACGGGCAATCAGGAGAATGGTAGGCGCTAAGAAGAAAGGGGCTATCCTCCACATTTCGAGCATCGCCGCCGAAATTGTCAGCATCATCACCCCACTGTATCAGGCATCCAAGCATGGGATTGCTAGTTTCGTGATGGGTATGGCACCCTTGGAGGAGCTCTGTGGTATCAGAGTCCTTGGTGTCGCTCCTGGGTAAGTTGACGGCAACAATTTCATGACTGGGTTATTCAAGCCCGATACTGATAGAACTGACATCCTATCACCTGTTGCAGGTCTATCGCCACTCCTCTGCTCTTGGAGGACAAACGAGTAGCTGGATGGCTTGACATGTCCAAGGACGTCCTCCTGGACCCGAGTGTCATCGGACGTGCCTTGTGGTCATTGGCGGAAAACAAGAATGGCAGATACCTGCCAGGCACACTCTTGGAAGTGGCTGACGAGTCTGAAGACTGTTGGCGGAGTATCCCGTTGTACAATAATCCTGGTCCTCGCGGTATTGCTCGCAGTATCAGTAACAAAGACAAAGCCTTGGACTTGGTTAAGCAAATGATAGCGGAAGAAACGGCCAAAGCGTGAGTAGGTCGGACCTTCGCTCAGTAGAGAAAGGAATCCGCTCGTTTCTCAGACCTTGTTAGACATAGTGAGAGCGTTGAGAAAACGTGAAAGTGATAGTTGAGTCAATTCAATCTATATCTCGACAACAATGGGCAAGGTCAATGTCCACCTTTTTATCAGCTTGCTCCATAGCCCCAAGTGGCTAGGCATAACCTCTCGCTGAAGGTAGTGATCATACATTCAGATACGGATCTGACGATGTTGTAAGTTATGTCGCTCGCTGATGGCAGTAGGAATGGCGGTTGGAGGAAGAGCGGATGTAACAGTCTTTCTCCGCTTCGATGGCCGGCCTCATGGAATCAGGTCCTGCCTCTTGGTGGGTTTTTGGCCGTGTCTTATAGTTGTGATACTCGCCGGTCAATTGTTGCCATTGAAAGAGGTGGTCCAGTTGTTAATACTGTGATCGAGAAACAGGCGCCTGACATTCAAGAGCTGTGGAAATGACCGTATTGATGGGTGCAGCGATTTCTTGGAGAATACGGCAACCACCAAAATTAGGTGGGTGTCGGACCACTCTCACACTGTCACACTCTCACACTGTCACACTCTCACACTGTCACACTCTCACACTGTCACACTCTCACACTGTCACACTCTCACACTGTCACAC